TCTCACTGAGAATTTGCAAAGCTCTGTAGTATTGAAGACAACTGAAGTACATATACACAATGGTGCATATATACTAGCTTAATTTGAGTTAAAAAATTTACTCTGTCGGAAAAGAATAACAGAGTGATTCTCGTTTGGCAGAGACGACGACATGCGAATGCATACATATTCTTTGCCAAAGGAGAATTGCCCTGCCATTCAATCTCACAATGCTGCAAGCAGGAAAATGAATTATCTTTTTTTTTTTTTTTGGCTAATTAGTTATTTCTTTCATATATTTACTAACTATATCACTCAAGTAAAAATATGTACTAATTTCAGTTTCTCTTGCAGATGTTAATCTTCTCAATTTGATTATGAGTTCAAGCAAGCTAATACAATTGTGTCCCAAAACTAATGTCGAGGATGGGCGCGAAAACCGGGCCAAACTTAGTGTTGTCCTACAAAAAATCGAAAAATGGGGCCCGACCCATGGGCATATATAATTTATATGAAAACGTAATTTTTATTTTTTTATTTTGACGTTTTGGTTCCAAAAAATCTGATTTTGGGATAATATTTTTCATTCAATTTTCGTTTTTTAAAACAATAAGAAATCTTATGCAAGTCTTAATGTTTTATGGAAGGTGCTAAAGTGTGAGTTGTATTGTGAGTGATTGTGAGCTTGTAATCTCGATTGATTTTTGATAATAAAGAAGCCGCCATTGTAGTTCCCATGGATGTAGGATTACATAGATCCAAACTACGTAATCTTGAATGTTCTTCATCTTCGTTTCATTTTTTGGAAAATTACAGTTTACATCCCTCAAGTTTGGACTAATTTCACATTTGGTCCTCCATGTTCACAAAAAAAAATACAGTTGATCCCTCATGTTTCAATAATATAACAATTTTGGTCATTTCCGTCAATTAAGGCAATGATGAGCACACACTTGATTCCGTTAGTTTTAACGACAAAATTGACGAAACGGGCTAAAAATGTTGAGTTTTTGAAATATAGAGGACCAAATGTGTTTTTTTTTTATGAACACGAGGGACCAAATGTGAAATTTCTGCAAAGTTGAGGGATGAAAATGTATTTTTTCCAATTCTTTTTTGGAACAAGATAATGCATGAAATTCAAAATTGAAATCCATTGGTCAAGAATTTGGTCAATCTGTGCTACATTTGAGAGCAGTGCAGTACTGAAATATATATATAGAGACAAAAGAAAAGGATGGTGAGATTAGATTGAAATAAAATTGAAATATGAGAGAGAAAGAGTAGACAAGAAAGTGAACTAGACAAAGAAGAGGTTTTATATATAGGACATACTAAAGAACAAAATCTTATAAGAGTGATTTAAGGAGTTGTGTAACTGCTAACTTCCAATTTGTTTCTCTTCTTCTCTTGTTTTCTTGTGCTAGCTATTCTTTCTGCCTGCTTTTTTTTATATATGCATGCCCTCTGAAACAAGAATGACACCGTGTAAGATATATACATATACATACATACATATTTAAATGAAATGTCTTGTCAAGAATATTATATTTCATTATTCTTGACAAATAATTAATTAGGATTGACATATTGATTCATAAAATAAATATAAAATAAAGGGTAAATGTAGCCCTGAGGTAAAGGCAAATTACGAGAGAAAAAACTTTCATGTTTAAGGTAATTACAATCACCTCCAAAACTATGAATCATCTTACACATTCATCTTTGATGTTTCAAATTT